CGAAATCCGGCCTGTTGATCTCGAAGTTGGGCGTCTACGAAGTCCTTCATTCTGTTTAACAATACTCTGTTGAAGACTTTGCCCGGTATTGAGAGAAGAGTGATGCCTCTGTAGTTCTCACACTTGCTCAGGTCGCCTTTCTTTGGTATTTTGATCAGGTATCCTTCTTTCCAATCTGATGGTACTTGCTCCTTATCCCAAATCCTCTTGAAGAGGATGTAAAATATTTTCGCAGTTGCTTCTACATCTGCTTTCGTTGCCCCTGCTGGAATGTTGGCTGGTCCTGCTGCTTTGCCGCTCTTGATCTGTCTGATGGCCATACTGATCTCCTCAATCGTAGGTGCGCCAATATTAATTGGGAGGTCCGTGGATGCTGCTTCGATGTTGGGTGTGTTCAGTGGAGCTGGTCGATTCAATAGTTCCTTAAAGTGCTCTACCCACCTATTTCGCTGTTCTTCAGTGTTGCTGATTACTTTGCCTTCCTTGCTTTTCACTGGTCGTTCTGGTTTACGATAGTTTCGGCGAGCTTCTTTGTAGTTTCGTACAATTGTCTCAAGTTTCCGTCTCTTGCAGCCTTTTCCGCCGTCATTGCTAGATCTTCCACATATTTTAGTTTGTCAGCTCTGATGCGCTTCTTCACTTAATTGTTTGCTTCTGTGTATGCAGCTTGTGTGGTAACTTTCTCCGCTCTTGTCCGGCTGACATTGATTGCTGCCTTCTTGTTCCTCCTTTCTTCAATTTTTGCGAGAGTATCAACAGAGATCCATTCCTTGTGATGGTACTTCTTGTGACCCAGAACTTGTGACATGTTGAAGTGATTGTCTCCTTAATCCCTTTCCACTTGTTCTCCAATGTTGTGTTCTCTCCATTGATTAGATCCTGAAAGGCCTGGAACCTATTGGTGAGGGCTATCCTGAATTCGTTGAGCTTTACAGTATCCCGAAGAAAGGCTGTATTAAACTTGTGTGATCTTGTCTGTCCCGTTGTCCAGTGCTTCTTTAGTTTCAGTTTCATTTTGGCGATTAGCAAATGGTGATCTGAGGCTATATCAGCTCGTCTCCTGGTTCTCACATCCTCCATAGTCCTTCTGAACGTATTGTTGATACAGATATGATCAATCTGGTTTTGAGTAGTGTGATCCGGTGAAATCCATGTAGCTTTGTGTATGCGTTTGTGCGGGAATATTGTGCCACCGATGACCAGTTTGTTGAAGGCATATAGGTTTGCAAATCTCTCATCGTTTTCGTTTCTTTCTCCCAGTCCATGTCGTCCCATGATGTCTTCATATCCAGTGTTGTCCATTCCAACCTTGGCGTTCAGATCTCCTATAAGAACCGTCAAATCCTTTGGTGAACATTTATCGACGATTGACTGCAGCCTTTCGTAGAATTGATCTTTAACGTCGTCATTGTAGTCATTGGTAGGTGCATAACATTTGATGACGTTCATTGTAATGTCCTCTTCCTTTGTTTTGAAGGATGGTTTAATGATCCTGTGTCCATGAGATTCCCATCCTATTTGTGCCTTTTGTTCATGTTTGGACAGCATCAGTGCAACTCCTTGTGTATGTGAAGCATTTTCCTCTTCATGACCAGAGTATAACAGCAGTTCCCTTGAAGCTAGTCTCAGTTGTCCTAACTGTGTCCAATGCGTTTCACTGATTCCAAGCAGCTCCAGGTTGTATCTTTTCATTTCTGCCGCAACTTGAAATAGTCTTCCAGTCTCCCACAATGTACGAACGTTCCATGTACCTAAAAAAATGGTTGCTCTGGTTGTTAGAAGAGGCATCGGCCCCGTGACTTCCGAGGGAACTCGGCTTTCATCACGAGACGTCATAATTCTTCCTCCAACTCCCAGGGCAGAGTTAAAATGGTTTGAATTATTTTTTCTGGTTAGCGTTTTTTTTGGCAAGTTAGTTTTTGACGGAATGGGGTCGCCAACCCCATGTCCAACCCTCCTCCTCTACTCGGGCTTGGGACCGGCAGTAGCCCCGAAGGTTCTACTGGCGGAGTTGGCTTTCTAAAAAGGTCTAGTATATATGTATGTATATATATATATATATATATATATATATGACAGTAGGTCTGAAGAGAACCTTTTGTTGTATCTTTCAGCTTACCTGTTTATGTGAATCAAATTAAATGGGCCACATAAATGGAACTCCTTCCAAATGTATCTCCCAACATTTCCCAGCTTAGTTTCCGAAAGGATTACAGAAGTCAGCCAATAGCTCAGTTTCTGAACACCTAGTTAGCTCCAGGTATCTGATAAGGTCCAATGGATGGTAGTTTAACCACTGAACTGCACTAATTCTAGACAGTTATTTATGAATTTGTGTGTTCCTTGATTTGCGTGAATGCTTTGATTTAAGGGCAGTAGGGTTTCTGGATACCAGGATGCCTGTGGTTTTGTGATTTTTATGGTGAGATAATAAACATAATCAACACTACATATTTATCTTCTGATTTGTCCACCATTGAGCTGCATGTAGTAACAACTTTCAGGACGAGCAAAGTTCAGAAATTATAGTGAATACCGACCACCACAGAATCGGTGATCTCACATCCACCACGAGTTACATTGAACAGTTTGCTAGCTGTTGAGACGGGTTAGTATAATACAGGACTTCCAAGGGAAGCACCTACTTGGATCACTGTTTATCCCTGAAGTACGACCATAGTATGTGAAGTGGATTGAATTTATAGGAGGGAACCGTGTTCACTAGATTAACATTACTGATATCGTTATGGTCCACCAAAGTTATAGGATCATGGTATAAAATGTAACTGATCGATAATTTCTTGATTTTCGGTAGATACATGCATTTTGGACCTGTCAGTTTCTTAGCAGATCGATTCAGAATTTACTTGTACGAATAGGAAAGATAAATTATGTATCTGGAGTTTTTTAGCGGCAACTATGAAATCAAAGTAGTGTTCAATACTCTGGTGACTCGCAGTCTGACTCCTTTTCGGGCGGACGGTTGAGTATTCGATAAAATAAATCTTTCCTTTAACTTCCGTATATCATATTTAGGCGAACCCTGTTTGTGAAACGGTAGTAATAAGAAGCCGATACGGTTTCGCGGATGAATTTATCACGTGCAATCGGCATGAAAATACCAAGTGTGAAAGCAAAGCAAAGAGATAACGGATGAACCACTTCAGTGTAATGAGGCATGACTGAGCATTTATTGTCAGGCTGAAGGTAGGTAGGCATGCGTATACTCCTAATAAAAACAACCAAGATATGAGCGAATGACCGACAAGGTCAGTAAACGAGTGAATAATAACTGGAGCAGAAAAGGTCAATCGATTTGTCGGAAATCTTGAATAAGCCCAGTGGGCTCAGCATGTAAGCACGGAATCTACAGATTACATTTCAAATATGGAAATCGGTAACTAGAAGAAAGGAAGCGTGATTAGTGTTTGGGAAGAAAACCATAAACATAATGTTGATAGATTTCGGTTATATCAAATATCAAGTTCATTTGACTGCAAGCTAAAATATATTTACAGTGAGTTGCTTGTAAATCAGTAGGTCACATAACAATCAACTTCAGATATGCTTACAAATCTTACATGATATCCTCATAGTTTTGTTGTTGGTATAATATTTTACTCTTCATCTCTCTTGTCGTTGACAATTATTATTACCCTTGAACAACATTCACAGCAATCGTCCTTGTTAGGAATATCCATCATTCAGCAAAATGTTTAATTTCTACTACTGGAGGTATAACTACACTAAAATTCAGCTTCATGTGATATTATAGCTGGTGTGCTAAGTGTTCTTGTCAAACGTGTTACCCCTAGCTGTTTTGATCCTTTACATTGTTATATCTCTTCCTGAATTCAACATGATTATCCCTATAAGACAGGTGTAACTCCATAAATCATCTTCAGAATATAATTGACTGGATAACTGTTGACAGCTCTAACTTGTAAATTATGGCACAATGAAAGTATTTCGATGCCAGTGTAGGTTTTTTAATGGGCTCACATTATTTTACCAGTCTGTGTTAAAAGCATGAATTAAAAGTAGGTACTATAACAAGCTATAACTAGCGAAATTCAGGCGTGTCGGATATGAGACAGTTAACTACTGAATACAGTGGAAGATGATGATCAAAGATCCCGTGTTGATCGATCATCAGTTTCGATGTGGTAGATGGGCGTTGTTGAGAAGTTCGATTGTATTTCTTAGTTACTATGTTATGGACGGTCACTTCAGCTTCGTTTACGTGATCACCAATTCGCAGTCAAACGCCACGACATTTCTCCGCTTATATCAATACACACTGACAATTATGAACATACATTCTATTGGAACAATGTGGGAATACTGGATAGGGGAGGACAAAGAACACTAGAGAATTTTTAGAAGCTTGGCATTCAGATCAACAAACGCATTGACATTAACTTAACTTATCAACCAATCAGAAAAATCATAGGTGATATAGGATCAAGGAACAGATCAAAAGGGGATACGATCAAAATATAGGTCTAAACAACAGCAACCAATCAAGACCGAGGTTAACAGAACAAGCTACAGGTCAAACGTGGCGAAATTAGAATACTTCGCTTGCATCTGAAGTTTGTGCTGAAGATGTTGTTCAGAAGAACAGTTCAACCTTGGTAAAATTGTCCAGCCCAGAAAAACGAAACACCACTATTGCTAAGTTACGTTTTACAGGACATAGTCAAAAATACTGTGACTAACGGAATAGAACATTCATTACAGATCAGAACAATATCTGTCCTATTGTTATCATCATTATTCAAGAGCTGGTTGGAGAATGCTGATCGGCGGCGTATGCTTCACTTGTTAATAGCAATTTATTCAATACTCTAACCATTATCAACTTTATTTTAGAAGAAATGCCATGAGTTAATCATGGATAATCAGAGGCAACTTACATAGTGTGCTCGAAAGAAAATATGACCGATAAATTTCATTCACAAAAATATCATAAATGAGGAATTGAATAAGAGAATAGAATACAGAATAGTTTATTTGTGTGATTAGGTAAAATTCAGCAGAGAAACACAGATTATATTATTATGGTTATTTTTTCAAACTGTCATTTACATTTGTAACATTCGGTTAATGTTAAAAAGAAAGGTACGGTATTCTTATCTTCCCGATTTAAATATAAACATATCATATAGTTTGAGAGTAATTATTACTAGAGGGCAATTCGTTGGGATGCAGTCGTGGATAAGAAGAATGTAATCCTAAGTATTTTGTTTCTGAAATGGAAAAAACACCACATAACATGGTTCAAAACTGGAAATTCACTGAAACTGGACAAAATACTTTAACGTTAAATTAAACTAAACATGACAATTTCACCTACTGAATTTTTTGTAATTATGTTTCTTGATACGATGCTCAACATTTATCCCAAAATTGTTTGTGTCGATCAGGGGAAACCGAATCAAGAACTATTTTTGAGAGCCCATAAATTACTTACTGGGACTGGTCAACTGAAGAGGAATAAATTCAAATCTCAACTGCATTGCCTTATTATTCTTCTTGCTTAAATTTCTTATTCTCTATCTTATGACATAAAACAATCACTACAAACAAAGTTTTAATTCTGATCCTGATATTTTAAATAATTGCATTGAATTAAAATATTCCAGTGGAGCACTTTTCGGCTACTATCGGTCACAGGCCTAGATGAAGGAGGAGAGTTGGGCATGGGGTTGGCAACGCAGTCTCATAGAAATCTAACTCGCCAAAAAATGCCAACCAGAAAAACTAATTCACTGGTAGGCAACCTATGCTCCATTAGGAGTAACAGGCGTAGGTCAGTTATAAATGTGTTCGCACGCGATAACAGAAAACACCATTCATTCCCTACGATAATTTTATCTGTTGTAACATATTTTTTCAATAAAATAATATGTAATTACCGAAAAAAACAATGAAACTTGTATGCAGTAATGCATATTTCAAATATTGTAATCCTGTTAGTTAGATAAATTCTCAAACTATTTGACCTCCTCTCTAACTAGTTTTCTACTGATTAGTTAGTTTTGAGTTTACAAAACGTGAGAAAAATTGATAAGGTTGAAATTATAAGTACAATAATATTGACATCCATGTCTCATTATCATTATACAGCATGGATATTGAAAGGATTAACGAGACTTAAAATTTATATAAAATCACATCAGAGGGGATGATTTGAAGATAAATAGAAGATAAATATTGTTATGACAGTGATGGAAGAAAGTAGTAGTCGGAACTTACAAGACCGCGACGACGACGACGACGGTAGCAGATCAGAGCACAAGCAACGATTAGAATAATGAAAAGCAACAGAATAAGCAGCAGCAAGACGAAGAAAATGAAAATATACGTGAAATCCCAGTGTGAATTCCACGACGACACGACATCATAAGATGTACGATTAGGACGTAGCGAGAAAGAAGAAAAATCGGGGAGGGGGTGGACATACGATATCTAAAAAGAGCAAAAAAGAGAAAAAAGCAAAAGGCAAAACACATTATTAAATACATATGGATGTCCATATCGGAAAACAAATCCATTTGAGGCCAAATTTATGGAAATTCTAAAAATTCATATGCCGAATGCGAAATATCATTAAAACAGTCTAACGGAGACTGCAAAGTAAACCAACAAAGAACAGCGAAACAAACGAAAAAAATAAGGCATGAGGGCAAAATACGCTCAGAATCAGAAACGAGAAAAAACTTCAATTGCCAGTA